TGAAGAAAAGGACTCTCTCCTTTTAATAAGTCAAAGAACTCTATTTTTAATAAAGCTAATCAAACAAAGTGTTAGTCAATAAATAAGATGTGAACCAATCTGTGAAATGAAAATATTGATTACTTTATTATAATCCTATAGAATATAATAAGCAATATGACTTTAAATGTTTCCACTAGAGACTGATCTCATGTAGCGTTAAGACATGACACATTGCTTTTACTGATCCAATCAGAATCTTCCAGATCTGACAGAGGCGTGGTTTAGGTGGTGTTTGGTAAATCTGTCACCTTTTCATTCGACCATAAATCAAAACATTCGAAGTATAAAACTATGCCCACGCCATCTTTAGTGCCAGTTCAAAGCGTTCTAGAGAAGTTGACGGAGTGGCCAATCCGTAACTTTCCTCTTCAGCCAAAAGAACCAAGGACAAGCTGGATAAAATCCATTGCTGTTCCAAATGCTGCAACGGTTCCTTTCAGAATAAAAGCTGAACCAACACGACCCAGATTTGGGTCTCGCTAGATGCCAACAAAATCGTCGTGACCCGGAAGTATCTCAAGACTGGTTTGAGTCGGCAACCGCTGCTTTTCCTACCGGCTTCGGTTCCAGAGAGGGTCCAGCTGGACCTCGACATTCCTGATCTAATGGGGACTTCCACAAGGGTATGTAGACTGACGGAATGGCGTCGAATGTGTTTATGAATCTCCTAACCAAAGCTTAGCGCGAAGACATCACCTTCATTTCTCATCAGAACTTATCACTTCTTCATATTTGCTGGTTCTGAGCAACATTCCACATCACCCTATTTACTGTCTCATTCACCTTAGTTACACCATACATTTAATGTTAAAGTTAGTCTAGTTTTAATTTGTTTAGTAATAAATCTTTAAACTTTTAAATCTCGACTCTCTCTTCTGTTGTCTCTGAGTTAATACGAAGCTGTTGTCTAATCCCTGCAATAAAAAGTTCCAATCTTCTGGTTAAAATAACCCAACAGATCCATAAGGTTGATTTCATATTTCCTAAACAAAATGAATAAAAAAAAATTATTCCCCACAGTTTCAAAAGGCATCAGCTTAATACTGGCTGATGGTTTGAGCATTAATTCAAGAAAAAAAGTAATTAAGGTCATCTATAATATTCAATATTTCCATGGCTTGTTTTGAATTACCAAATATAAACAATTTTGAGTGCAAATTAATTATAAAGCTCATCATTTTGATAAGTCAAGATTGAATAGAGAAACATTTCCCTGTTTGTTTCTATAATCTGAGCACACAAAGGGAATAACCTGCTGGGAAGCTCATCTGTCACATGATTAATTATGCTGCAGATGAAGAATTATTGTTAATTCCTGAGGCGCTGAGTTCAGTCCTGTTGCTGTTTGTTTGCATTCCCAGACTGATCTGAATTAGCTGCACCATAACTACTCGTCACAAGTGAAATCCTTTTTTTTCTCCTCCCGGTTCAGATGTATTGACACTGTGGTCTCAATTTTCTCTCCATTGGGACAGCACTGCTCCGCTCTTGTTTGTTTAATTAATAGTTTGTCGTTGGCTGTTACAAATAATTGTTCCTGCAATTAGAGCCTTGGCAGGAAATCCAGCAAGAAAATAAACAACTCTTCCTGCAAAAAGGATCATTTACGCTTTCTGGGCCCGAATTGGAAACTAAAGCTAATGAAATGCAACAACAAGGGTTCTGAAAGGTCAGAAAACCTGCAGAAGCTGCATGAAAATTTCTTTATTATGACATAAATCTATCCAGTTGTCCAAGAGAAGCAACCCTTTCCAGCTCTTCCCAGTGGGACGTGGACAGAAACCCTCCACAGGGAGGCAGACAGTAGGTATCCTGAACAAATCGAATGTCTGCACCACCTTGAATGATTCTTTTCCACGAGGAGGAGCAGCTCTGCTCCAAATGCCCCCTGGATGAGAGCGCCATGCCTCATCTCAAAGGCATTAACCCTCTGGAGGCAGGTGTTACAGATTAGCAACGTTAAAACCTACCTACCTGGTTGCTCCACATACGTACTTCATGAGCATTTTATGACTCAGAAGTTCCCCTGAAGGACTTAGTTGTTCGTCCTTTTATCAAAACTTATTTTGAGCCTGAGAGGGTTAAAGCCACCTTTAAAGGAGAAGCAGCACATCTTGTTTCTTTGGCCATAATCTAAATCGCACAAGCATGCAGGTGGGGATTAGGATGTAAGATACTGAAATACCCATCAGACACCCAACTGAGGACAGTTTCCACCTTTTTCCTTCTTCTTTTCCAGAGCTAGTATTAGAACCAGCCACAAGGGGGCACTGGCTTTGATTCAGCTTCAACTACCACTTTATATTAGAGCAGGGGTAAACAATCCTGGTCCGGGAGGGCTGGTGTCCAGCATGTTTTAGTTTTAACCCTGTTTCCACACCTGATTTTAATCAGCAGGTGATTAATTCTGCAGAGCCTGATGAGCTGCTACACAGGTGATTCGACCACTGAATCAAGTGTGTTGGAGCAGAGAAACCACTAAACGTGCTGGAAACCGGCCTTCCGGGACCAGAATTGAGTTTCCCTGTATTAGAGTGTCCCTTTTTTCTGTTCATGTCAACAAATGACACCCACTTGTACATTTGGCAAATGTGCAGAAATACCCCAATAAAGTTTCAAACCTGCATCCTTCTTGTTAGGACAAAACACGTGTTGCAGCCCATATGGCAAATAGAGGCATATAATCAATTTTTGATGCTCAAAATACCCCAAAAAGTATAATTATTTATCTTAATAACAATTTATGAGGTTCCACTTTATCCTACATTGTCCAGTAACAATAAAACACTCTTCTGTGTAATATTTATGTTTTTTACTCATGATTTGGAGCCCTAAGGTGCTCAGGAAGAGCTGTGTTTGTGAGCACAAACATCCAGCCTCCCTGTAAGGAGTCTGGAAAATCACGAGTGGGACGGTGTGCACGTGCAGCAGGTAATCCTCCAAATCATGTGCAGCGAGCATGTTTGTGTGTTGATAAGAATTGTTGCTTCACCCTTGTTTCTGCTGACCTGGATGTTGCTTTCCACTTCTGCGTGTTTTGTTCTCTGGATAGAGCCAAAAACACTGATCTCAGCACAAAAAAGCTGTTATCACAGAATTCAGCCTCATTATGTGGTATTATTGTCATGCAGCAAACAGAACACTGCAGTCTTCACACGGGTTTTGTGCTTCTGTTCCTTTCTTTGCTTCTTCTCACTTGCTTACCAACCCAGTTCGTGTCGAGTTGTTCCTGCGTCACCTGCATGAAGTCTGTGAGGAGCACCTAGAGCAGGATATCCAACCCTTCTTCTGACCCATTTACTAGTCTTCATGTTTATGCTTCTATACTGTCTCTGTACTTATTTTAAAGAATCCTACAAATTGAAATAATAGCAAAGTAGAAATACTTTTTGAAGCAAATATATTGTTTCTAGATTGTTTCTCTTTTTTAATGTAATGCAAGGTGTCCTGTTGCGTTCTAGAGACAAAGCTGTGTCAGACTTTTTCATTCCAAATAAAACAATAATCAAATTCTCTTTTCATCATCCTCTTTAATACTGTGAATGCATTTCCTCTGTGACCTCACAGCAGGGGTTCCACCAATTCATTCAGACCAACTGGAAAAGCAACAGGACGCCAATTACTGTGGAGCCAGTGTGAAAACATGCATCTAATAGTGTGCACAAGTGAATTAATTCTAAATGATCGTGAAAAACTTTAAATACTTTATTGTTATAGTTTAATTCATATTTTAAAATACTGAATTTAACTCACATTGTGCATACATTACATGTTGCATGGCATGTTTCATTTATTTGTGACTACATTCTTAATTTTACATCTTTATTTTTTTCCCTTGTGAGTCTAATTGAATCCTACAGTGATTGTGTTATTTATGTGTTTTAATAAAGTCTTCATGCCCGGTGGGATCTCACAGTGTCAGCTCAAGTGTTTGCTCAAATTAGAAAAAAATCACAGCTTAATCTGTAAAAATGAATAAATACTACTGATAATATAAAAAGCAGCTGCTTTGAACTGGGGTCTGCTGAAATAGGAAACAATTGTAAAAAATCAAACGAATCTTGCTACGTGTTTCTAAAATTACACGTTTCCTGTAGAAAACCACATTTCCCTTGATGCCACGCTCCAGCAGACCGGCCCCCTCCGTTTGAATGGCAAGTTGTTTGTTTCACTCCGACCAGCTGCTAACTATTCCAGGAGAGCAAACATGGGGACAGGTCGTCAAGCAGCTGAAGGAGGATTACACAGCTACTTCCGCTTTTGCCTTTTTTCTTCAAAATAAAAGCCCACTGTCCTGCCCCAGAAACGGCATATGGTATTTTCTTAAGCTGGTTAAAATAAACTTTCCCACATTTCTTATTTATGTACATCTTCACTATTATTTGGCTATGTTTTAAATTTATTTACAGAAATTGTCATTTGTTAAAGCCTTGATGTTGCTGATTCCATCATGTCTTGGGCACCTTTTATGATATTCAAATATTTCCCATCTCCTTAAAATCCCAATATCTTTCTGTGGTTAATTAACATAGTTTTTATCAAACGTTTCATTATTTGATGAAGGGCAGGGCCACACTACAAATAAGGCTCATATAGAGTTTGTTAAAAGGCAATTAATGCAGCTTCATTAGAAACAAATTTAATGACCTACATGTAATGATTTAAGTATGTGGGGTGTCTGATAACACAAAAATAACATGTGTGTCCTTGAAAATGGCTTTTTTTAACTGACATAACTTGAATGTATGCTGCCAACACATGAGCGGAATAAACATGTTTTAACAGTGAACGCGCAGGAGAATGAATCAAGTTTATTTATGAAAGTGTTGATTGGTGTGTTCGTGTTGTAACAACTTTAATGGGTTGATTGTCTCGACATTTGCTGAACCCGATTCGTTGAGCCTTTTATTGTGAAAACCCTTGCGCGGAAGTGACCGGGCTTCCGTTGTGGGTTTGGCCGCAAGGTCCGGGTTTTACCTCTTTGCTTTCTTTATTCCTCCCTGCCTCCCCGTTTTCTTTCTCTGTTTAATGCGCCCCGGCCTGCCGTATGTGTCTATTTATTTATTTATGCATTCTGTTTGAAACTATTTAGCTTATTTTTTGTTTGTTTTACATTTTAGCCGTTCATCAAATGAGAAGACGTAAAAGATGGAGCTTCATATTTTAGAGCACAGCTTGAAAGTGGCGAGTATAGAAAAAGAGGGGATCCAGATTTGCACTCACGGATTAATGAAACTCGCCTTCTTGGCCTCCAAAACAAGGTGCGTAACTTCTCAGACGTTGTGCCCGAATAAAACTGTTCAGTCATTCTTGTTTTGCATGTTTTTAGGAAGTGTTAAGGTTCGCGTTAACAAGGCGCACTGACGCCGGCGGCGGCTTGTTAAAGGTGTTTGTCGGTGCTCCGTCCTCTGCTGGCTTAAACATTCAGACATTCGTGTTATTATTACCAGAGAAGCGCTCTCAGGCCTGTTGTTGTTCTGTTGTGTCATTTAGCTTTGTGCCATCTGTAGCTGGCTGGACTGCGGTCGCGTTTCTCTGCGGCTCGTTTCCCACAAAATAATTATTATAAACAAATCAGCCAAACTTGTGCAAGAGGGTAGACTTTGACTGGTACACCCTAGGATGTTTACTGTCATCCCGCCTGAGGAAACTTTTACTAAAGTAGCTCATGTGGTGTCAGCAGGCCTGTGTGCTCCCCTTTGCCTTGTGCTTTGATGATTTATTCACCTGGCACTTATTTCACTGTTTGTTTGTTTGTTTGTTTTTCTACAGCTGGAAAAGTCCGAATAGTTGTTGCAATCATCTCCCCCTTATTGTGGAGAAGTCCCAGATTAAAGCTGATGGGATCAGTTACTGATAACAGCACAATCCCTGCAGGTTACTCATTACCTGACCTGATGAAAATGTTGGTCTCACGTGTTTTTGTGCTGCATAATTAAATCAGCATCACTGACTATCTGGGGTGAAATGGGTTTGATAAGTCATTCTTCCAGTCATGTTTTTAGCATGTCTGAAGTCTCATCACTGAGAAAGTGGCACGTGGCAGGTGTGGTTTTGTTTCAACAGTTAAAGGGTTTAATTATTATAGATCCCAAAGTAAGCAGGGATATTCCAATGCACTGTGATTGTTAAATATATTTATGCTGGTGATCTTATGCTGAGAAATAATGCATCCTTTTAGGTCAAATCTTGGGGAAAAGGTGTGGAATCAGAAGATTTTTGCGGTGTTCCGCTTTGAGATGATGACTGACTCTCAGCTGCTACATCAGATTTTAGCTTGATGTTTGTAAACCAGCTGAGTTGGAGCCATCTTTCTGTTTGCTAAAGATGTGGCGGCCATCTTGAATTGGACTGACTAGTTGGTTTCATTCAAATCCTTCTACGTGTAAATAAATGTGCAGGAGAAATCATCATAGTCTTTTGCCTTTTTGGTGGATAATGATTGTTGTTCAGTTTTTTTCAAAGCAGTAGGGATGGACAATGTATCTGTATCGGCCGATGTTAGTCATTTTTTTAACATATCTGTTCGATAAATAAAACCGAGCTGACATTAACATCCGATATTTTTTCCATCTCGTCTCCATTTGTTTGCCTGTTTCAGAGGGTGAGGAGAGTGATGTGTAATTGTTTAGTCATGTGAACATTGACTGAAACCATCTCAGAACCATAAATGTGTGTGTTGTGTGTTCATAATAATGTAAATTCAGCCTTAATCATTTAATTCTATACTAAATCTGCTGATTTTAGAAGCATTACTGTCAGTATATTGTGGGGCTGGGCGATATGGCCTAAAATCAATATCACAATATATTGAGGATTTCACTTCGAAAGCAATAAATGGACGATAACTACAGGTATGCACAGAGACAAAAGTTGTCCACTAGGTGGGGCTGTCACATGTATTACATTGACTCACATTTTTACGTGACTCAAGGTGGTACAGCTTCTTAAAGGGACATGAACGTTGCCAACCTACACACATCTCTTCATTTTTTACTATCAAATGTATTGACATGAGAAAAATTATCATGATAAGGGTCAGAAATTTTGCTAACGGTAAATTTTCGAATTATTGACCAGCCCTACTATACCGGTATCGGCAAATATTGGTTATCGGCCATAACAGTGATCTTAATATCGGTATCGGCCCCAAAATTTCATATCGGTGCATTACTACAAAGCAGGACACATTAAATTATAATTAACGGTCTAAACTCCTAGAGGTCGACCGATAGTGGTTTTTTCATTGCCGATGTGAAGGAGACTTGATCAGCTGATGGCCAATACGTATTACCATTTTTTTTGGGGGGGGGTGGCCAATACTGGATGTTTTCCACTATTTTCTTGCAGAAATGTCACAAATAACATCAGTTGGTGCACAAATTTTTTAACGCTGAATCCGTTTTTGAACAATGAAATTTTCAAACTGTTAAATCTTAATTTTGTGCACGACTCGGTGTTAAAATTAGGGATGTCCGGTTTCAATATTGATATCGGAAGTAATTTGGCATCGGCCCAAAACAGTGTATTGGATTATATTGGACTGCATTAAAAATCTCAGGTATAAGCAGTTTGTTAAGGTTCACATTTTTGCAAACAGTCATGGTATAAAAAAATGTCTTTTTATTGGCTCATGTTCTCTGAGTAATATGACTCGAGCAAGCCTTTTATACATTCCACACTACCGTATATGTAAAAGTATTTGAGCTGATGTCATAAAGGATTGATATCGGTATTGGTCAATACTGAAGGCTGCAATATCGGTAACGTATCGGCTGTGAAAATGTTGTTTTGGGACATCTCTTTAAAATCAGACTTCTAAATAAAGTTAATCAAGCAAATCAATAAACTGACCAAGTATTAAATATTCAAAACTGGTAAATAAAAGCTCATTTTTGTTGAAAATAATTTCAGAGCATTTATTATGCAGATATTATTTAGGAATGTAAATAGTAATTTAAATAAGGTCCTGAATCAATTTCATCAATTTCCCTCTGGGATTAATGAAGTATTTTTGAATTGAATTGAATTGAAACAGCACCAGGCTGCCCGGAGATATGCCTGACTTTAAATCAGCTTCACTACAGAGGTATATTGGCCGATGCTGATATTTTTAAAAAATTGTAAATAGCGGTCTCCCTCTACTCCTTACTGCTCTTTAACTGCATTGAAACAGCACAGTGTTATGTTTGGGTATTGACTAGGGCTGTAGCGAAGCGTTGATG